TGAAGCTGATTGTTTACAACAAGAAATTGATGAACTTAAAATACAAATTGCTCAATTACGTCAAACACAAAATTAATTAGAATCCGTTTGTTTTGTATGTCTCTCTTTTTTTTTCTTCTCTTTTTGATATTGTTATACAATTAGATAAAAACAAAATAACAATCAATGAATAGATAACAAATAAAAAAAAAATAGTTACAGTTAGGAAAATAATCTTTTATGGAGAAAAAAAAAACATGGATTGATATTTTTTTATTTTTACGAAAAGTAAATAGAATAGATAAAGAAATACTTTTCATTGTATCATAGATGAAAATTCACTTTCATCTAATTCGAACCGTACAAAGTCTTTATAAATATTTATGATTCCTTTCGGAAGATTTTATTTTCTGTAAGACAAAAGTCTGGCTACGAGTTGTAAAATATAGAATATGTCTTAGGAATATTTATTTTGTGAAATTTGATCTAAAATAAGTGTTGAAGTATAGGAGTAGAAATTTGAACCATCTCTCACCTCCACAATTGTGACAGACGTCGTTGATATATGATCATAAATGCTTTATCAATAACGTTTCGTTATAATAAATGAAATATTTACTTATTGCATTTCTGAAAGATTAAGTGAACAGATATTAAAGTAATACTTCTCAAAATAGATAGAATTAAACAATCGTTGTATGATGACAATCGCAGGTACATCGAGCTTGACTTTTTTTTTTTACTCTGCAAGGTTTGCGCTAATATGTTTTTCATTTATATGTTAAATTTCTAGAGATGTCATTGATTACGACCTCTAGCATTTTTGCACCGGTAATAGAAAGAGGTATTATTCAGACTGGATTATGCATTAGTAGGAGAATATCGCCATACTAAGTATTTTGTCCTTAAATACCAATCACATACATTCTGTTTGATAAATGTCAACATAATATTGAAATACATTGTGATGAGAACAGTTTGTAATGTCAAAAGAAAGTATTGAAAAATGTTTCTCTAACAAAATGGACTAATCATAAATCGATCATTGAAAAGCTATATTTTTCTTCGAAAGTAATAATGTTAAATTAATTTATCGTGCAACAAGTAATTTATTTGAATCTTGAGAAGCTTCAACAAGAATGGTGGCGATGACCGTCAAGACACGTAACTGTAAGTCTATTGGAGGTATTATCAGATCATATATAGATTTTTTTTGTTTAGAGAAATAGACAACGTTTTCGAAACGAAGAACGATCATCTTTAGTGCTTCTGCTTGAAATCCATTACTATACTATCAGCCTAGCGTACAATATGATAAAATCTATGGGGAGTATAAAATATTATAGGTTAATATCTTTATTTATCTACGATACTACATATATTCTAAACTAAGATGGGTGAAAATCTTCAAAGCATTGCCATCACTAAGGACTATCGTATTACTAGTACATCGAATCCTAAATTTCGAAGAACCCTATTCTCCATGTGAGTGATTTTCCTATGTATCTGACTATGGGTTATGACTTCACTTCTAGCTAGCTGCCAAGCTATGAATTTAAACCATTTTTATTCTTGTTTTCTAAGGATAAGTTTTTGAAGTTCATTAGTATTACGTACAATGATTTTTCTTTCTCGTTGCTCTACAACGAGAACTGTTATTCGAATCCTCAGTTCGTGAAGAATATTTTAGGATTAATAGCTTCAATGAAAGCTAGTGTTCAATTGCGTGTATAGATCTAAATGTTTGGTGATGCATGATTCAACAATAGAAAAAATGTCAAAACTAATTAGCTGGTAGGAAGAAGAGAAATATTTTCATTCTTCTAATATCAGAGAATGATCTATCTCTACTTCTGTCCTTTGTTGATTCTTCACTATAGTCGTAAACTCTTCAGGAAAATGCGAAAGCTTATTCAATGCATGTACACACAAGCGTCGTTATGACTGAGCATACTTGGAAACGCATTACAGGATAGACTATATTGATGTTTAATGTGCATAAAATTTAGAGCATGTACATGTTTAACATTGTCAGTGAATACGAGAACATAAGAATGCTTCTGTAAAGAACCCACGTGAGTGGATACAAGACATGTTCAGAATGACCAAAAAAATGAAACACATATTGTACGCATACATGAACGCGTCGGACTCTTTCAAAAGGTAAGGTTCAATCATACACACTATTACTCTACAAGATGAATTTCTTCACCTACATCTATACCATCCATATAATGAACATCAGATAAATGCTAAGGACGTATGAATATGAACTCCAATAACTAAAGATGAATTCGAAAAATTGAACAAAGTTTTTAGACCAATATACTGTGGATATATGAGAGCGATGTCATTTTAATGAGAAATACTTAAATACACATCGAAGAAAAAAACTAAATTTATGCATACAATAGCTTGAATATTACTAAAAACCAAAATTTGTATGCTGTCCAAAAATCGCTTTGGTAATAATGTTCTTAACTATGACACTTTAGCATTAACATGCAGAATTTAGCAAATTCTAGCCACCTTGCAGGTACACGCTAATAACATTTTCGCTTTTACATGCGAGTCATATATTCTGTCAATAAATACATTAGAGTGTTGCATACAGTTATTTTCAACAACAAGAGTCATGTGTGGTCTCGCACGTCGTAGCTTCTCAAAAGAGATACTTTTTTAATTAAGTATATAGCTATTTAAAAAAGCTATAGCTACTTAAAAAAACACAAATATTCTCAAAAGAGATACTTTATAATTAAACATATAGCTATTTAAAAAAGGTACAGCTACTTAAAAAAATCATAGCTATTTAAAGTGTTTCGGCTATTTTAACCACTGCAGCTATCTAAAATTCCCTATAGCTATTTAAAATTTCACATAGTTATTGAAAATTTCACATAGTTATTGAAAATATAGCTATTCAAAATTTCAAAATAGATACAAAAAGACAGATGATAAAATCATATAATTTTTTTTTTTCATCAGACCCTGCTGAATCATCTAATCAAGAAACAAAAGTCTCTATATCATTTAGATTAATTTATAAATGATAGTATGATGATATTATTTTCATCATCAAATAAAATGACTTTTTTTTCATCAAACCCTGCTCAGGTGATAGTTTTTTTTTATCAGAATCATATACTTTATTTTTTTATAAAACTCTCCTCAACAATATGATAAAACATACAATGCACTATATGAATGATAAAAGGATTTTTTTTTTCATTCTCGAACCCTGCTCAATTGTATCAGAGAGAAATACAAGTTAGCAGATGATTTCAATATACTTGTAACTGACACTATAGTTATACTTTTTTTTTATCGAAGAATTCTGATCAATAATGTGATAAACAAAAAATACAACTAAATATATATTTTGAATAAAACTAACAATCAGAGTAAAATCAGTTTTTTTTTATCAATAGTTACGCAAGAGTTAAACAGTTACTCACGAAGATGGAACATCTCTTAGATAATTAAGTAGCTATAGTAGATTTAAATTGCAGTAGGAGAAGCTTAAATAGTTGAAGAAGAATTTAAATAGTCATGGACA